GCTGTCTGTAGCCATTCAGAGCTCTCACTCAGTGTTATTTGAACAGGTAAAATCCCTGCCATTGTTGGGATCCGTATTGTTTTTTTACTGCGAGCAGCCTAAGCTGGAGAGACGTGTGTGCTTGTTTCGCCAGCCGCACACGCTGTAAGCCTGAATCAGGCTACGATACTGATGAGAAGTGACAAGATAAGTCCCGGCTCAAGTGCAGGGGCCCGTCTCTTCTCTCCACAGGGGAGAAATGCACGCTTCTGTGCCGGGAAAAGAAAAGAAGAAAAAAAAAAACATCGGGACAGGATAGCCGTTAAGGGATGTGAGGACGGCAGGCTCCCTGAGAGCATGGGTGCGTGCGAGAAGTGATCATTGGGAATATTTTAATCTCCGTTGCTGGTTTATGTAACAGTCACGTGACCCATCAATGACGTGACATCACAGCTTGCCCTACTCTTGTTTTCACTCAATCGTTCACCAATCTCCCTGTAAGACGCACAAAGGCAGTTCAGTGGAGACAAACGGGGACAGGACCACTGAGCTTTTACCAGGCCTTGTGATTGTTTAGCCTTTTACTACTGCTGGAGAGGATAAAGGGAGCCAAACAGTGGCCATACCTTTTTGTGCATGTGCTCGTGTGTGTGTGTGTGTGTGTGTGTGTTTGAGCCTTGTGAGGAATAGAGGAGCAAGTTCTGTGTTTGAAGGACCGCTGATTGACACATCAATGAGAGAAACAGTCCTCCGAGTTGACGGCCGAGACGAAATGGCCATGAAGCTATTGTTCTGGGAGTTAGAGCAGCATTTGAAAAGGTAAAGTGTGTTTTACACTGCCTGGTCTTACATCCGCATACAACATTTTCTATTCACATGCTTTCAGATTCTTATTTGGAAGATATTTTAAATGTAGAAAGATTAAAAATGCATGCAAATGCGTTTGACATCATGAATGAAAGGTATGGCTCTATTTGTTGGAGGTCTTTGTTCCTCTGAGCATCATATGTGTGTCAGATTAATCTGGTCATTTTAATGAGGAAATCATGTTCAGTCGTTTTTCACTTTGTACATTATGTTTAGAGAAGAGAAATCAAAGTATACTTTGATTTACAGAAAGTGTTTTTAGTTCATGCATTCCCTGGGAATCGAATCCATGATGTTTCTAGTGCCATGCTCTGCTGCTCGAGCTACAGTGAAACTGGTGTAAATGGTAGATGGATGATTTGTTCTGTTGACCTTTGCACCAGGCTTCTGGACAGAAGCTTCTTTATCAGTTAGAACTTGTTCTTCATGTTCATTATGTGAGTACACATTGTCCAGAAAACCTGTTCCTGGTCCAATCGGGTCTTGATATTTGTGTCATAGTCAGCTTCAGGTAGATAGCTGGAGTTGGAGTGTGTGCCATGGCCTTTTAATTGTGACGGTTTCAATAGTGAGGAGGTGAACTGAGCTTGGCGCACAAAGACGTCAGTGAATAAGTAGGTTGTGTTGATTTGAGCGCTCTGAATAGTGGTAGTGTGTGTCAGGTCATGGACAGCAGAGGTATATTTGGACTCGTAATTGCTTAAATCCATTTCCAGTCAAAGAGCCTGGAACAGTAACTTAACAGCATCCTGAGCTGCTTAGGTTTGGGCTTCATTTGGTGTGCCGTTGCTGCATTTAATTAGTATAAGTGATCTATTTTTACTCGACGCAAGTGTACACTTCATTTCATTTCAACCCCACTCGTGTTTCAAAGGTTTGTGTCAATCATGGGCAGGACTTGAGCAATGTTTCAGAAGAACTGAGGATATCAGTTGTCATTTGGCTGGAAATGATGCGCTCTGGTTAGCGTAATGAAGCATTAATGACTCTGCGCTTACCGGGTGGGTGTTGCACCACCTTAGCAATGGTTTGGCATCTGTGTCGGTACACACCTTTACAACAGGACTGAAATTATGTGGAAACCTACCTAACCACAATCATGACTCAAGGCAACAGTATGTTGAAACCGCAAAGCTGTTGTAACTTTGTGCTCTGAAATCACATTTTATATGCAAATTATGGAATATTACACATCTGCCTATCAGATATTTTTAAAACATGACTGCTAAACTGACTCTTACCATTCTGGGATCTTTTTATTTTTATTTTATTTTTTTTTCACGTTATAAAATATCAAACATCAGTATGTCATTTATATGGTAGGTTACAGTCTAGTAAGCAGAATAATATACAATCAAATGATTAAAAGAAACCATTTCAAGGTGATACAAGACCTGATCACCCTGTTTATTTTGTGATCATATCCAGCTTATTGAAAAACTGAATATAAAATCCTCATCTCTCTAGATTTAACAGGGTTTCCGCAGGTCCTTGAAAAGTCTTAAATTTAGTTGTATCAAATTTAAAGGCCGGGACACACCAAGCCGACGGTCAAGCTAGTTTGTTTGGTGTGTTCCACTCGTCGGCTCTCGTCGGGCTCACGTCGGGGGCAGTTTGCCCGATTCAACATGTTGGGGACCGTCGGCGCGAGTGAGAGCTCTAATTGGGATGTTCAGTTTAGCGAACGAGTCAGTGCCTGAGAATTAAAGCGAAAGTGATGAAAACAAGCACGTAAATGAAGGCGGTACAGACAGAAGGCTGTTTAAATGTTACGTGATCTTTCCCAATCATTCTAATATGCGAATGTTTTCATAACAACATGAGCCGCTTAAAATGATTAAAGTTATCAACGTTACTGATATTCAAAATGGTAAGCAAGCGCTGCTTTGTTTACGTTTCGTATATCTGCGTTTATCTCGTATATCTTTGTTTCGGTTTCTCCTTTTGAATGACGAATAAATACTATTGATAGCTGCTGATATAGACAGTTATTCCTCTCACGCATGCGCAGAACGCACGTGTTAGTTTGCCGTCAGCTCAGCTGTAGTCTGTGCGGTGTGTTCGAGTGCAGCTTTTTGGTCTGACGCTGTCGGCTTTCGTCGCCGCTAGTTCTTTGAAGTCGGCTTGGTGTGTCCCGGCCTTAAGGCCTTAAAAGTCTTAAATGGAACCAGAAAGTCTTAATTATGATTTCAAGAGGTCTTAAATTTGGGGAAAAGAAAGACAAAAAATGCAATATGGCTGAATGTGAGATTAAATTTCAAAAGGCTATGATTGCATTAAATAAACATGAGTGCTTCAAGTTTCACTGCTGCTGCTTTGTTTACTGCCGTTACCAGGGAAACCGCTGTATTTCTGCCGCTTCAAAAGCGCCTCCAGCTGGTAGAGCTGTTGTTTCTGATCCAACCAATGTGAAAATCAACCCATGTTTTTACGCTGCAAACACGCAGTTGTAAATGTGAACTGGTGGATCAACAAGAAGATAATACATTATAAAAATGTAAACAATTAAGACAGTAAAATATATTTCATTAAGAGTTGGTTGATAATAGTTGTTGACATTAATAATTGATAGCTTTTCCTTACAAAAATTAACCATGATTTTACTAAAGTAAAAGTGTAATAACCATGTTTTTTTTTTTTTAGCATATTGACTACCATTTGTATACACCATAGTTTTACTAAAAAATACCATGGTTAAGCTATGGTTAGTGTCAGTGGTGGAAACGGCCAAAATTCACTGGGGGAACTCCCAAGTTGGGGTAACTGTATCTGAACTGTAAATCATGCTTTTTACAATCCTTTTAGTTTCTTGTTACCATAGATGCTGCCCTTCCCTGCTTAAATGGTATTAATTTTATTTGTGCAGGTCTTAAAAAGTCTTAAATTTGAGCTTTAAAATCCTGCAGAAACCCTGTTTAAGTTTATAGTTATTTTTGGAGATTCTCTTTTTTTCTATTTGATCCATAGTCTGCTTCATAAGGCTTGTAAATACAATTTAGTCACAATATAACAAAATTAGCGACAGATCTTTTCTTCCATATTGTGATGCAAAACCCGAATATAACGGATTATGGAAGACATATAAATTGTTTTGACGGAGATCTGAATGCGAGCTTGCAATTGACTGTAAGAAAGGGGTGGGTTTATGTAAACAAAATGATTGTCCAGCATACGTCACCAGAGAGAAGTCAAATGTTTCACTGGAAGATCATTTTGATGAAGAATTATGAGGTAAAAAATTTTTTTAATGAAACAAACATGCATGGATGAATTGTTCACAATGAGATCTATAACATGCATTTTGAAAATAGATTGGGTGATTTTTTTTTTTTATGGTTTAAAAGCTGCATATGTAGCTGCGTGGCACGCAGTTTGCATGTCAGAATTTAAAAAGATAAAGATTTCATTGAGATTTACTAGTTTCATCATCATCAGATTTCAACTGTCCTGTTGAATTAGTGTGCTTGGGTTTAGCTTGATCATTTCTCTTCTGTCTCTTCTGCACTCTGTGCCTTGCAAACCAAGCACATGTGCATGCTCAAATAATATGAAGCACGCTGATGTGTAGTTAAACACGTTAATTAAAGCTCACATGAGATTAGTTAGCTGTACCGAAATCATAGGGAACTGAGTTTCATCTAAACATGCTGGGAGATGCTTTCTTTTCTTTAGGATCTGAGCTTTGAGCCACGGGTCCACATAACCCTGGAGAACACAGAAAACAAAAGTGTACAAATAATTTGTATATTATCCTAAATGTATTGCTAAATGGGGTGCATTAATAATCTGTTAAATTGATAGTTAAAAAAGGTTAGGATTTAAATATAAGATTTAAAAAAAATGAATTAATTTAATCTGGATTATACTGAATTATTTTGATGTTCTGATGGTCCTGTTGGGACTCCTTGCATCTTTAAATGTTGAAACTCTCCTGTTTTAGGGATTCACTCCGCTGCAGTTCCGCTGTTTGCCGATAAGTGGCGACATGTAAACACTGTGCTCAAAGGCATTCCCCGTAAAATAATGTTTTGACCCTGTATATAATAAAACAAAACAGACTGGAAAACATTTTTGGGTGAAATTAGTATTTAAAAAAAATACTTTTTCCCCAAAAGGTTATGCAGTAACATAACATCATGAAGAAGCGGTGGTTATTTCTGCCTGGAGTCTGTGGTAAAATACAGATGCTGAGTAATAGAATTGGGCTGTTAAGAGCTTTTGCCTTGAGACTTTTGATGGAAATAACATAAACTCGCTCCAACTGGATCGTTTTATAAGGCAAGTCGAGTTTGAATAAATTATCCAGAGCGAGTCGGAAGAGCGTCAAAGTGGGCGTGGCTGCATATATTAGTCAAATACCTCTCGTTCTCCGCCAATAGCGCGCGCCACCAGCGCTGGTGTGAAATAAATTATGCAAGTAGCACAGGCTGCAGATATTCACCAGCGCAGAGATGAGCTGACCTTGGAGTTTCTTTGTGCTGCGGCAGTGGATGTATGGTCTCCTGATAAAGCGAGGTTTTCTGCTGGGGAGTCACGCACAGTGTTCCTGCAAACGCACACAAAGGATGTAAAGCTCCAGAGGCTGTAGGAAGGACACGCGTTCGCTTCCCTGCGCGATTTCTTATGGACGCAATAGCATGAATTCTCCATGCTATTCCGTGGCGATGGATCTTGGTGTTTGTCAGCTTAGAAATTTCTCCATATCTTTCCTCTCGTCGTTGTTGGGGACTGAGACCTCGTCCGTCAAGCTCGACAATAGGTAACGTTAAAATGTCAGAGTTGTGTTTGCAATAAAGCTCGTGCATGAGCCTGTGTCCAGTGCAAAACACAAGTGTTGAACATGAAAATATACGACGCGGTGCTGTTTTTGGATAATTCGGGTCATTTATATTCTAGCCGAACGTTTTTAATGCTGGTTTAAAACCCCTAAACTGTAAGCAGCTCGCCTGCTCTCTCGGGTCTCTGAAAGATGATGCTGAAGGCAGCTTCGAAGAGATCAAATGTGTCTTTCTGAGTGAATACAGCAGCGTTTGACGCCTTCTAGAGATTTCCATAGGAAACATGGTAGTATGTACTATTACTTTGTCTTAAAACAACGGTTTTCGACGTTTTGTGCGTTTATGACGATATTTAGTAGGCGTCGCCATGGTTTCTTGTGTGTTGCTGGTGTATTAAAGCAGTGAAGTAACGTTAACGTTTCTCTCGTTTTTCCTCCACAGCTCGTCGGGTGCCAGTGTTGTGGCTATAGACAACAAAATTGAACAAGCGATGGTAAGTCATCCTGCTTTTCTTGTCATAAACGGGAAATATCCGAACAGATGTTGTGTTTACATGCCGTAAGCAGGCTGTCGAGTTGCACCAGTGTCAGTGATAGGAATTATGTAATCGTTATCAAATGATTGTTGCGACAGCGTCAATGTTTTGCCGCTTTGTAAATTACTTCATCGTTCAAGCTCATTCGCGCTAGTCTAAGTTTAGTTTAAAGTAAACAGCTGACAAGAAAACGAGCGAAGTGTTTGCTGACTTGCCTGGGGTTTTGCCTGCGTACTCGCGCGATCCGTGCGCCTTGTTACTGTTGCTAGGCAAACCCCAAAGCTTTTACACATAGTTAAAAATATCTCGGCTTCTGATTGGCCTGACGTGCTGAGGGACGCCATTTTGTTGGTTTGGTGACGCCGGGTAGCGAGTCAGATGCAGGTTAAAGCTTTTACTGCAAACGCGAGCGCAGCGTCTCACAGTGGATTTGTGTTTTTGCGCAACAATATGATACATGTAATAAAATGAATCTAATACACTGATGTTTTGGTTTGAATAAACAGGAGCAAGGTTTGAAAATAACACTCTGTTGTCCGCTTTCAGGATCTGGTGAAGAGTCACCTGATGTACGCTGTCCGTGAAGAGGTGGAGGTGTTGAAAGAACAGATTAAAGAACTGATTGAGAGAAATTCTCAGCTGGAGCAGGAAAACAACCTGCTGAAGAACCTGGCCAGTCCGGAGCAGCTCGCACAGTTCCAGGCACAGGTTCAGAGCGGCTCGCCGCCGCCGTCGTCCACGCAGGGAGGGCAGCCGCCGGCCCCGTCGGCCCCACTCGCAGCACAGCACTCTGGCCCGTCGGCGTAGCTCTGAACGACAGTTCATGTTAAGGGCCAATGAGTGGCTGGAAACGGACTGAAGCTTCTGAACAAACATGCCTCACTCACATGTTAGACTGACAGAATTTGCACACCTTTCAAAACTTGACAATGTAGAGGTGATTTACACCAGTGACAGTCCAGTTGGCTGAGGCGGGACATTGCCAAAATCCACGGAACGTGATCGTCAGGAAAACAATCCTGGAGGACGCGATATAAAGAATCAATGTGCCTGTCTAAAGTCCCGTTGGTTTTCGGTCAAGGCTGTTTTCCGTGTCTCCCTTACCTTTGTGTAGTGTACATGCTGACGGCGGTCTTTTTAGACTGCGAGCTTCTTCTAAAGCAAGCACTTTTATGGTGACGATTGTGATGAGACTTTGAAGAGCTGCCGATCTGTGCCCCAGCTGGCATGGGGAAGGCAGACACATTGACTTCCAGTTGCATTGGTGTAATCATGATACTTTTTTTGGAATGAAGAAAACGACGAGGAGGTATGATCCTTCAAATCCTCATTCGTTCCCTGTGCAGTGAGGATGACGGATGAGCTGAATTGCAAGGTGGACAGGCTGTATATTATTGTATGATTAGTGTAAGTATTTTGTAAAATAGCGATATCATGTGAAGCGGCTAGAGACACTATATAGGTTGTACAGATTTAAGGGGTAGCGAGGTAGTTGGCTTACCCAGGAGACGTCATCCTTCTTTTTTTTTAATGCTGTTAAGCAGGATCGGTCTTACGATATCGGACGGCGGTCTTTTAGACTGTGAGCTTCTAATAAAGCAAGCACTTTTATGGTGACGAATGTGATGAGACTTTGAAGAGCTGCCGATCTGTGCCCCAGCTGGCATGGGGAAGGCAGACGCATTGACTTCCACAGTTGCATTGGTGTAATCATGATACTTTTTTTGGAATGAAGAAAACGACGAGGAGGTATGATCCTTCAAATCCTCATTCGTTCTCTGTGCGGTGAGAATGACGGATGAGCTGAATTGCGAGGAGGACAGGCTGTATATTATTGTATGATTAGTGTAAGTATTTTGTAAAATAGCGATATCATGTGAAGCGGCTAAAGAGACACTATATAGGTTGTACAGATTTAAGGGGTAGCGAGGTAGTTGGCTTACCCAGGAGACGTCATCCTTCTTTTTTTTTAATGCTGTTAAGCAGGATCGGTCTTACGATATTTATCTGGCAGATGGAAACTACTCATCTAACACCTACTGTAGGTGGACAGGCTGTATATTATTGTATGATTAGTGTAAGTATTTTGTAAAATAGCGATATCATGTGAAGCGGCTAGAGACACTATATAGGTTGTACAGATTTAAGGGGTAGCGAGGTAGTTGGCTTACCCAGGAGACGTCATCCTTCTTTTTTTTAATGCTGTTAAGCAGGATCGGTCTTACGATATTTATCTGGCAGATGGAAACTACTCATCTAACACCTACTGTACACTACTTTTTTGTTCACTTGAGATGATTTTGAAGTATTACACCCATGTGATTTCTGTTTTCAGTTTGGACAGTGAAGTATTCTGGATCTTTTAACTTACATTTAATCTCAACTATCATATAGCTGACATGGATTTGCATTGTGTACAACTTGTATGCTTCTGTTCTGTGCATGTTCTCAAAACCAGGAGATAAGTTGTAAAATACTGTAATTGCACTTGCCAGTTGCACTTCACAACTCTCAATAAAGTCATGTTTGTGAAAACCCTTGATGCTTGTGTGACGTGTGCCAGATGTTTTCATTGGATGAACTGTAGAAATGATAGTCGGTGTAAGGTTTATCGTACGATTCTACAGACTGGTGAGTATTTATATCATATTCTCATGTTGTGATGGCTGTGTTTTTCTAGTTTAGACGTTTCCGTAGCTACCTGAAAAAAAACGTTTACTTAAAGACATGATTAAAACAGACGAATCAACAGATCTTTTACGTATTGTGGCATACATCTGAGTGTAACTGATTATCATTTAAAAAAAAAGTGTAAATGTTTTCACCGGAAGATCAAGTTATATTTTGATTAAAAATTAAAAGGTCAAAATATATATATATATATATATATAACTACATATAAATTAAAATGATATATGAAGATGTATATTAAAAATAAAATGCACGTATTGTATGGATGAATCGTTCACAATAAGATCATAAAATGCCAGTTTTGACATAGCATTACTATTAAAAGTTTTGTTGGTCTCCATCCCAGCGGGCACCTTAAATTCGATGTCAAATATCAGTCGCGACTTGATCAAGATGATGTAACATCATTTTTAGTTCAGTTTGGATGGCAGTTTCTTCCAGTGGTGAAAATAAGTTAATCCCACACTGAAATTGGTTTAATGTATGTGTAGGCCAATGTTTGACGTTCAATTTACATCAAATCAACGTCATGTCAAGTTTTTGATGTCAGTTGGATTTGTATATTTGACCTGTCTTTTCAACAGCAATTGCCCACTTAGGATAGTACTGTTCATAATTTAATTTTAAACTCTCCAATGCATAATGGCTATATATGGAAAGGAATCTAAACAAGCCTCTCTTTATGATTCCTGAAAAATCTAAACATTGATTGAATTTAAAATATTTTTGCTTTCTTCACTCTATCCATGTTTACTTGTAGACTACCAAGCTAGAACACGCTTATGTTCAATGAACAAGAATCAAGACTCCACAAAGGTTGCAGATTTGTGGATTAAGATCCAGATAAGCCATGAATTTCAAAAAGGTCTCCGATTGTTATCAGCTCCAGTTGGGTTGTCTGTACAGTTAGTGTTCCGCAATTTTTACATCTACTGTAACATTCATGATGGTTCACAAAATCTGAACTGGTTTTGAAAAAGCAACACTGACATGAGGCATTATCCAAATGTGTTTGACGTTTATTTGAAAAAGGCTCACGCAAACGGTTAAATAGAGGAATAGATCATGGCAATCATCAATCACAAATAAATATGACGAACATCATAAGATGTGCCAACAGCAACAATGGTTTTGTAGAAAAGCATGTGCTCCCTTCATCCAGGGGCACTGTAAACATGTGTGACAATGTCATGTAGTATTGTACACTAGATCCAGCTGAGCATACAAGCCTCTGACCCACAAACAGGATTTCACCTATCAGTCTTCCTTCAGATTGTATCCAGTCACCCAAAAATCTCATTCAGATGTAGGGCAGAGTATGTGAGGAACGCTGGGACTCACATTCCCATTCGGATACTTTGAATTATCTGAAAGATGGCTGAAAACAAGAAAGAAAGAAAAAACATTCAGTTTATTATTACAAAAACACGGGGAGCTTAATAGCAATCAGCACATATAATATAAAAATTAAATTTTACCTGATCCACAAACAACAAATACAAAGAGTGCCAAAAGCCATGGCCCCACCGGATATTTCTCCTCCTGCGGTCGCTGGAACAGTGAAAGTCAAGAGTGTTTCATAAACAAAAAATGGTTTGGAATTTCTGCAGATAAATCTTTACACATGACACAAATGTCTAAATAGTGTCACAGTAACAAAAAAGAAAACAAACACCTGAAGACTTTTTCCTGTGTTGTCTATACACAAAAATTTTTTCTGGACGTTTACAATTAAACAGGATCTTTATCATGCATTAACCCTTGAACACAAAAACAGACAATGATTTCATTGACGCCTGTGGCAGATGTTGTGACCCGGTTACACTGCACTTTTATAAAGGAGGGTCAGCAATGGTCAGATTAGTTAAGTGCATCTGTCAGCAGCTCGTACAACTGTGGCCATGGCAACAACATAGGCGTCAACGTTAACTAAATCTGGTTTACAGCATGCTTATCAACTCATAAAGCTTATGGAGCAGATTGTGATTATGTAAAACAATAGCGCGTTTACGTTGCTTGCGAATTAAGCCTGATTTAAGATGATCCCTGATACCGAAAAGACTTGGGTAACGTAAAGAATTAGACTTACACTCGCCTCGTATGATGTTTGAATAAAACAGCATCGTGAAAAACTGACGATGGCCTCGAAATGAGCCAGGATAACCCCAAATCACGCACATAAAAACGAAATCCACACAGAGAAGCCAAGATCGTCGTTCATTTACATGCATAGAGACGACAAATGACAGTCTTACCAGGGTCTTCGCCACGTTCCCCCTCTGAGTGATGTTTTTGCTGTGCTTCTCGTTTGCCATACGGATTCTTTGTTTTGCTACCATCTTCCGACCCAACGTCCAGGTATAAATTAAACGCTACAGTAAATCAAATATATTGCTTTATCTGAGGTGACGCTTCAGTCCCCTTCCCTGCACCTGCTCCCCTAAACCGAATTATGCGGGACGGAAGTGCGACTCCATGTAGCCTAATAACGTCTAGTGGGACGCGCTCCCTGTTTAGCTCAGCTCCATTAAAATACCCATATTTTTTATTTTTGTTCATATTTTTGTATTTACAAATTAATTAAAATCTTGATATATTAAACCCCAAGATTAATATGACATCAAAAAAAATATAATTATATAATATAATAAACAATATGAAAGCAAATAAACATGTTATTCCCTGTTGGGAAATCCGGCTGAAACTGGTACTTGTTTTGGAGCATGGAAGTTCCTTCTAGCTATTTATTAGCTGATCCAAACCATTAACTAGTCATTAACTAGTCCAAAATGGCCATAAACTAGTGCAAGCTGGTTATTACCTAATCCAAGATGGTAACTAGCTGGTCTAAATTGGTCACTAGTTGGCTGAAGCTGGTCTAAGATGGTCACTAGCTGGTCTAAATTGGTCACTAGTTGGCTGAAGCTGATCATAGCTGGTCCAAGATGGTCACTAGCTGGACCAAGTTAGTCCAAACAGTTACTAGATTGGCCAAGCTGGTCCTAGCTGTTCCAGGGTGGTCATTAGCTTGCCCTAGATCGTTACTAGCTGGACCAAGCTGACCATGACTTTTCCAGAATGGTCATTAGCTGGTCCAAACTGGTTATTAGATGGCCCAAGGTTAATATGACATAAAAAAATTATAATTATATAATATAATAAACAATATGAAACCAAATAAACATGTTATTCCCTGTTGGGAAATCCGGCTGAAACTGGTACTTGTTTTGGAGCATGGAAGTTCCTTCTAGCTATTTATTAGCTGATCCAAACCATTAACTAGTCTTAAACTAGTCCAAAATGGCCATAAACTGGTACAAGCTGGTTATTACCTAATCTAAGATGGTAACTAGCTGGTCTAGGTTGGTCACTAGTTGGCTGAAGCTGGTCATAGCTGGTCCAAGATGGTCACTAGCTGGTCTAAGTTGGACACTAGTTGGCTGAAGCTGGTCATAGTTGGTCCAAGATGGACACTAGCTGGACCAAGTTAGACCAAACAGTTACTAGATTGACCAAGCTGGTCACAGCTGTTCCAGGATATTCAGTAGTTGGTCCAAGCTGACCATAGCTGTTCCAGAATAGCAATTAGCTGGTCCAAGCTGGTTATTAGCTGCTCCAAGTTGGTCACTAGCTGGACCAAGCTGACCATGGCATTTCCAGAATGGTTATTAGTTGGTCCAAACTGGTTGTTAGCTGGTCCAAGATGGTCACTAGCTGGACCAAGTTAGTCCAAACAGTTACTAGATTGGCCAAGCTGGTCCTATCTGTTCCAGAGTGGTCATTAGCTTGCCGTAGATGGTCACTAGCTCAACCAAGCTGACCATGACTTTTCCAGAATGGTCACTAGCTGGACCAAATTGGTTATTAGCTGGCCCAAGATGACTAACTAGCTGGACAGAAGATGGTCACTAGCTGGTCCTTAGCTAGATGGTCATTAGTTGTTTGACCAGCTACTATGTTGCAAAAATGCATCTTGATCTATTATGACTACCTGGTTTGCTAAAAACCATCTAATAGCTATCAAGTTCCAAAACCCAGCTACCATCTTAAAGGGTTAGTTCACCCAAAAATGAAAATTAGCCCATAAATTACTCACCCTCAAGTCATCCTAGGTGTATATGACTTTCTTCTTTCAGACGAATCCAGTCGGAATTATACTAAAAATTGCCTTTGATCTTTCAAGTTGTTTAATGCCACTCAGCGGGTGTTGCATGCATCAGTCCAAAAGAAGTTAAATAAAAAGCCAAAAGTGCCTCACACGGCTCTGGGAGGTGAACAAAGGCCTCCTGTAGCGAATCGATGCGTTTTTGCAAGAAAAATATCCATATTCAAAACGTAATAATCACTTATAATAATCTAGCTTGTGCTCACTGTTGTAAACGGAAGCAGTTCCGGGCGAATGACGTATGAGGTCAGCTTTGCACATGCGCCGTTCAGAATTGACGAACACGGAAGCACACAGGAGAGATCAAAACAAAACAACGGTCACTTATCTGAAAGAAGAAAGTCATATACACCTAAGATGACTTGAGGGTGAGTAATTTATGGGCTAATTTTCATTTTTGGGTGAATTAACCCTTTAAGCTGGATTTTCCAGCAGGGATATCCTCCAATGCTACCAATCTGATGCTTTGTCTATGCAATGTTATCTCTTTCAGCTAGATCTATTATTCCCATGTAACTTTAAGTTTCAAGGGTATTTCCATTTATTTTTATTCTTTAGGGAGTGCAGTACTTTCCCTCTGAGTTTCCCCCAACTGTCAAGGTGAATAATGCCCTATTTTTGCTGTATTTTTGAGTTGGTGCCAGTAAATCAGATATGAGGTTGCCTCAGCAATCGACAC